CAAATATGTATAACACCTCTACAACACACACTTATTTGTTATTATATATAGGATGCTAACTTTTTATATCAACATTTTGTAATCTTATATTGAATATTTTAACTACTAATATGAACTCAGATGAAAAAAGTTCAAACTTCAAAGTTTAAAGTCTTATGAACCACTAAAACTTTTGTATAGGATGTGTCTCCACATCCAAGATTGTTTGAAGAAATAAAAAATTTGAATCTCAAAATTGTTAATCTAAAACAAATATTTTAGACACTAAAAAACTTCAAATAAAAAAGTTATCAACAACAAACATGTAGCTCAAGTCGGTCACTACAACTTTGCTATTATCTATGTGAACATTCACTGTCGTTTGGAAATTCTGAAGTTTGAATTTCAAAATCTATGAACTTAAAACACATATTTGTGACTCTAAACAACTTTAAATAAAATTTCAACTAGAAAGTTGTAGATTGTATTTAGAACTACAACTTTGGTATAGACCATGTCAACATCTAAATTTGTTCAAAAATTTTAAATTTTAAATCCATGAATTATTTAAAACAATATTTTCGGACTCTAAATAGTTTCAAATAAAGAATTATCAACTACAAAGTTGTAGATCACATTGATTGCTACAATTTTGATATAAAGGTTACCTCCATCTAACTTCATACGAAAAGGTTATGAATTATTTTTTGATGCAACTATTTCTATGGACGGAGCCATTAAGATGTTCGTCTCTGTTAATCAATTTTTAGAGACAGGCCCTTAGAATGGCCGCCTCTGTTAATAGTGATTTTTATAGATGGGTATCTTAAAGATGTTTCCCTCTAAAAATCGATTTATAGAGATGGACGTAAGACGACCGTCTCCGTAAATCGGTGATTAATAGAGACGGATGCCTTAGAATGTCTGCCCCTCTATAAATCTATTTTTAGAGGCTAGCATATTTTTAAGTGTCTTTTAAAATATTTTGTCTCCCAAAATTATTTACAGAGGCAGTCAAATAAATGTGTCGTCTCCTATAAAACAAAAAAAAACTCTATCTCCTATTTATTTATTAGTAATTTAAGTACATGCATGTGGGGCTCCAGCATGAAAGAAAACACTCGGGCGTGTTTTCGAAGTTTGCCACATCACAAGTTTGGTACAAACTTGGCCTACTATTTGCTGGTGACTAAAGACTTGGCTGCCGCATTTGTTTACTTGTTTTTCTCTAGATTCATCTGAGTGCCATAGCTTGCCAGATTTCGCTGCCGCACTCGTTCCGGTTTTGCCACGATGGGGATGCAAAGCAAACTGGCCCTAAGCACCACATTATTTAACTCACATAAAGTCCTTACATAAAAAACCCCACATAAAGTAAGGTAGGACAAGTGACTTGATCCTGATATTAGGAATTCAAATCAAATATCTCAATTTGAATCCTAATATGTTCTCCGTTTCAAATTGTAAAATGTTTTGATTTTTTAGATACATTACTTTTATTATATATCTAGATACAGTGTATATCTAAGTGTATAGAAAAAATACTAGAAAAACAAAAATGTCTTACAATTTGAAATCGAGAGAATAAAAGAGTATTATTCAGGCTCGTAGGCATCGTCTCCATACGACAAGATGTTAAAGTATAATAAGTGCAGTCGCTCCGTTTTATTGATAATACATAATAACGGATCGGAAATGTAGAATTCTTTTTTTAGCGATTACACAATGTAATGCAGACACTCACAACGCACGCACACTCATCCCTATGAATACACGCGTGCAAAAACCCTACCCCTATAAGCATCTTCGAAGACTGTGCTGGCAAATCCTCAAGATTGACGAAATCACCATAGGTGCCTCGCTGTCGACGGTAACGTCGCCTACCACTGAAAGCACAACGCCATTAAATCCTAGAATATTCGCTCTCACGGGGAGTCGAATCTAGAACCTGAGGTGCTACTGAGGCTCTTGTAACCACTAGGATATAGGCCCTTTCGTAGAAATGCGGAATTCTTTACTACCATAGCTTCGTTAGGTACTCATGGAGGCTGTCGCGAACATGCTCAATCTATATATGCGAGTAGAGGTGGGAATAGGGAAGGAAGAGAAGGAAGAAGGGGAAGGTGGTGTGTTCAATAGTGGTAGCTCACTGGTGGCGCCTCGATTCTCATCATCTTCCCCACATGGTGTTATGGTTCAACGTCGCCGCCAAGGAGAGAAGAGAAAGGATGACTCTTCAATGGACACACTCTTGATGCCCAAGCCAATGAGCACCATGGCCAATGTGAGGACAAGTTTCCGCATGAAGAAGAGCTTTGCATTGCTCTTCTACAAGAGCACCATGACGCCTTTCACCACCACCACAACTCTCGTCGAGACGCCTTCACTGCCACCTTGCAAAGCTACAACATCGCATGAGCAAGTGCAGACCACCTATGCAATCCACTTAATTTGGCTCATTACTACCCGCAACTTCCTTCAGTTCCTCATAGCGCCACCACCAAGTATCGTTGTCGTCAAGATGCTTGCATGTGAGAGGGGAAAAGGAGGCTAGGAGCAATTTGGTCATTCCATGTGGCTAAATGGATTAGAAAAGCCAAAAAGGAAAAAAGAAATGGTGCCATGAGGGATGACTCATGGATGATCCTTATTTTTTTGGAGTTCACGTATATAGTGGCAACCACGCTTTAGAAAAAATGATGCCATGTCATACTAAAACTAGGGTTTTCTGTGTTAGGGGTGGCGGGTGGTATTTTTTGGTTTCAATAGTTGGGAGGTGTCTGCTACCTTGTTTCCTAACTTAGATTTGAAAATCAAACTACCATGCTAGTTGAGGGTTAAAAATAGACTTTACGTACACTTAAAAACAACCACCATGATTGACAGTGGAAGGACTGGGTGTAGGTGTTAAGTGTTAACTTATGGCGAATAGAACGTCGGATCCTTTTAAGGTAGTACAAGTGCATTAGTAGTTTGTTGGGCGCAGCGGTTGACACTTCTTAGCTTGCTATAGTACGAGCGCATTGTTATTCCTGAGTTGTGGCATTGACATAGTCCTGAGCTTGGTAGGAGGGCATTATGATCAATGAGTCGTAGATGGGTTCCGTAAAGAATGCAATTCTAGGTATACTTTTTATAAAAATATTTAAAGTTTAACCAAATGTGTAGATAAAATGTAATTAATATTAATGACTTTATATTTGACCTTCAAATACTTTAGTCCTAAACGCATAAAAGTAGAAAAGAACATAGGTAACATATAGAAGAGAAAAAATCTATGGGTGTGCTTGGAACTTTGGCCAAGATCCCCTCAGCTTCGCCTTGCTTAGATGCTGCAAGCCACAAGATGCTTGCCAGGCCGATTTGGCTCTCTCGGGGCAGCAAGGAGAATCTCGCTGGCAAGGAAATCGAAATAGATGAAACCCAAGATGCCAACTGACAGCATAAAATAAACGTCTTGGGCACCTTTCAACTTTTATTAAGTTGAATCCATTTGCATTTGTGCTAGTCTTCACTTCATTTTCTTTGCTCCTTTTTGGCTGGTAGAGTACATAAAACTTTTGAGATGTCGTAGTTGTCCTTAAAAGAAAGAAAAGAAAGAGAGAGAAAATGACGAAGTTTGAGATGCCGTAGTTGTAGTAGCGGCAACTGTTATGTTTAGATTAAACGATAAAACTATTACTATTGCATTTTAAAAATCTAGGCACACGATGGCACTAGGCACTAGCCGCCATATGGCATTAAATTTGTACTATGACACGGTACAGTACAACATCGATTGCACGGTATAATTTGCACTCAAAATGACAAAGGCTTTCATTAGACAGAGACAATTACTGGATGTTGTCAGAGGCTTCTGGGCTCTCAACAGCAGGAAGTACGTAGACTAGAGATTTGCCACAGATGCATAGCTTCAAATGTTTGCATGTTGTTGATGAAGTGACTTCAAACAGTCAAACCCGTACCCAGTGAAGCCAACTGTACTTGTAAGCTGCATCCCATTGTTCCGGCCTGTTCGCTTGCTCGTAAACGATCGTAAATTTTTAGCCGGTAACAGTGTTTTTCTCTCACACCAAACCAGCCAGCAGTAAATAATCCACGATACGATACGGCCTCCCGAACATGCTGGAAAGTAAAATTTCGGACCATCGAATCAATGTACTTCCTCCTATAGCAAATGTAACTATATAAATTCATTTGAACAGGTCTTTTATATAAGTATATTGTCTTGAATGAAACATGTTATATGTTGCAAAAGTCGTTTATGTTGCCTATCTAGGTAAAATTTTACATGGTGATGGTCATAGTTCAAAATTTTGTGATTTTGGGGTAAGTTGGTAAGGACCCGTATTAATATTTGAACCGGAAGTCTAGCATCTAGGGTGATTTTCCAACCAAAAAAAAAGTTCATAAGAATTTCACACAAAACAACTCAACTCATTCATGTATGCATCCAAAGCAAGAAACATCCCCGGACCATCTTACTTATATATAAATATAAATCCATTTACCATCTCACATATATGTAACTAATTCGATAATTCCACACATATATATTCGAAAACTGCGAAAGCTGAGTTGGTTAGGTGTTTGAGTAGCACCTTTTTTTTATATATAAAAAAATCTCTCATCCCTGTTCCACGCCAAAGTCTCGTTCTCATATGGGCTGCAACACAGTCTTCTTAATGCAATGCTCGGAAACTGTCTTACCTGACGCAGCTCGATGGAAGAAAACCTCAAGAGATCGAAAATTAGCATGGGGGTTATAAGTTTGTACAACATGATCACAGCATACATACATCCCGACAGCCACAATCGACCGAATCTCTTGAACGCGTCCTCTGTGTCAGTCGCTCACAAGTCACAAGTCACAGCTACAGCTACTGACTAGTCAGGCAAGACGACACACTCATAGCAGCTCAATTACTGCTCCAGCCAGGACTCCTCGTCTCCTCCCCTGCGCCAGCGGCGTCCCCTGGCCCCTGCTGCGTCTCATGGCGACATATAGCAGCTGAACCTCGATGCACGCGCCCATCTGCACAACGGACCGGAAGATCGAGCCGCAGCCAGCGCTAGGATTCGGCAGAGGCAGGCCGGCGTCGTACGTTCCTGTAGACAATAGGGAAGAAGGAGAAGAAGAAGACCAAGAGATGCGTAGCGGTGGCTGCGCGGTGCAGCAGGAGCTGGCCGGGGACGCGGCGGCCGTGATGCGGCAGGCGGTGAGCCTGGCGCGGCGCCGGGGCCACGCGCAGGTCACGCCGCTGCACGTCGCCAGCGCCGTGCTCTCGGACGCCGGGGGCCTCCTCCGCGCCGCCTGCCTCCGGTCGCGGGCGAGCTCCCACCCGCTCCAGTGCAAGGCGCTGGAGCTCTGCTTCAACGTCGCGCTCAACCGCCTCGCCACGGCGGGGGGCCTGCCGGCGGCCCCGCCGGCCATGTTCCAGTTCCACGCGGCTGCAGGTCACCGCGCGCCGGCGCTGTCCAACGCGCTCGCCGCCGCGTTCAAGCGCGCGCAGGCGAACCAGCGCCGGGGCGGCGGCTCGGCGTCCGCCGCGGAGGGCCAGCACCATCAGCACGTCGCCGCCAAGGTCGACCTCGAGCAGCTCGTCATCTCCATCCTCGACGACCCCAGCGTCAGCCGCGTATTGCGCGAGGCCGGCTTCGCGAGCGCCGAGGTCAAGGCCAACGTCGAGAAGGCCGTCTCGTCGTCGGAGCAGTCGTCGAACACGGCAAACAGCAGCGCGCCTCCCGAATACTAATACTAATAACCCCAAGGAGTCCAAAGCCAAGCAGGTCGGCGTCGTCGGCGATGCCGTGCGCGTACTGGACTGCATGGCGAGCGGGACGAACCGGTGCGTGGTGGTCGTCGGGGAGAGCGCCGCCGCCGCGGAGAGGGTGGTCAAGGCGGTGATGGACAAGGTGAGCAAGGGGGAGCTGCGGCGCCAGCACGAGCGCCTCAAGAACGCCCAGTTCGTGCCTTTCTCGGCCGCATCGTTCCAGCGCATGCCGAGGGAGGAGGTCGAGGCGAGGGCCGGCGACCTGTGCGCGCTCGTGCGCGAGTGCTGCGCCGCCGCCAAAGGCGTGGTGCTCGTGCTCGAGGACTTCGGCTACGCGGCGGAGGCCTGGACCGTCGCGTCGGGGAAGAGAAGTGACTTCAGCTCGCGTGGCCTCGACTGTTACTGCCCCGTCGAGCACGCGGTCATGGAGGTGAGCAGCCTCGTGCGCGGCGGCGGCGGCGGCCGCGACAAGGGCATGTTCTGGCTGCTGGGGTTCGGAGCCTCCGCGTCCTACACGAGCTGCAGGTCGGGGCAGCCTTCCCTGGAGACCGTCTTGGGACTACACCCCGTCGTCGTGCCGGACGGCGGCCTCGCGTTGAGCCTCGGCGGCGACAGGTACGCCACAAGCTTGATCCTTCATCATCATCAGTGGTGTCGCATCGCATGCAGGCGTCAGTTTGACCACTTTATTTATTTATTTATTTATTTTCGCTTACTCATCATTCATCAACGTGTGTTCTTGATTTGTTCTTTCCAGTGAGGTCACACACTGCAGTGCCGGCACGGTCGTGGCGGCGAGCGTCCCCTCGTGGATTCACCGTTGCCAAGGTCCAGTTCGCATTGGATCGGAGCTCACGCTGAGCTTCTCCTCTCCGGTCTCTTTCCCCCACTGTGGCTTTACCCATGACGACACCAACAAGAGCTGCGCGCCATGGCATGATCTCATGGACTGGCGGCAACCGTTGCTGAACCGTCGGCACGATGGTGCGATGGCCGAGCCATACGATCAGCTGTCGCTCGCAAACCCTAATTCAGGGTCCTCTAACTCGGTTTCTAATAAATCCAACTCATCGGATGGCACGACGACGGCTCGCCGCCGCCGTCCGAAGTTCACCGAGCTCACCGCAGAGAATCTCAAGATCCTGTGCAGCGCACTGGAGGCCCGCGTCCCGCGCCACAGAGATATAGCTCCGGGCATCGCCAGCGCCGTGCTCCAGCGCCGCTCCGGCGTGACGAGGACGACGCGGCCGACCCCGGCGACGTGGCTCCTCTTCCAAGGGAGGGACAGCGACGACAAGATGGCCATGGCTTGGGAGCTCGCCAGGCTTGTCTTTGGCTCCTACGCCGAGTTCACCTGCATCACCGCAGTAGCATCAAAGCACACCCCGGACACGGATCATTCCGGTTCCAGCGGCCCCGGCGGTCACCACAGCAGCCTCAAGAAGCAGAGGTCGCCGGACAACGAGCACGGCGGCAGCATGCAGATGTTCTACGAGGCGATCCGCGAGAACCCTCACCGTGTCGTGCTGATCGACGGCGTCGAGCACGACTCGGAGCTAGAAACCGGCATCATGGATGCCATGGCGAGTGGAACCGTGAGGGGTTACGATGGTGGTGTGGTCAGCTTGGAGGACTCCATCGTAGTGTGCTGTGAAGTGTTCGAGTCGATGTCATCGCCTAGGGTTTCCTCCCCACGGCCTGTGAAGCAAAGGATCACAAGTGACGTTGACAGCAAGGTGGAAGATGATGGCGCAGAGAAAGGAGTTGTGCCACGTTTCAGCATGGATTTGAATGCCTGCGCCATTGACAGCGAAGGGGAGGACGGGAGTTCTTCGTATAATGCCATGGAGATCCTTAATGTTGTGGATGGTGTTTTCTTCTTCTAGTATTAACGAAGAAATAATTAATGGATTTAGTTTTGCTTCATTGGATGACACAATCTTTGCTGTTGTTCTGTTGTTTCGTTCTTGATTATATTCCTTTCAAGAAAACATATATAGGAAAACCGTGTTTCCTGTATATTATTGACGAGAAGCAAAACCAAGTCCAACTTTAGCCATAATTTTTCTATTAAAATATAGTTAGTTATAAGTCTAATAAACAAAGGACATTATGAAAGTGTTATTCAAGATAAATGTACCCATTGCATATTTATATCTACGAACTAAATAACTTTTTTTAAGAATTACACAGTATAATGTAGACGTCAACAACACGCACGGCTATTTATGGTCAAAGACTCAAATTAATAAAGTTTCAAACGTTCGACTAGATTTTTTTTAAGTGTCATATATTCGTGAATAGAGGGAGTATTCCTATAATAATAATAATGATGTTATATGGTCAATTTAAACATTCACAAAAGATTTTACTGGTCATTGGTCAAGGTAAAAACTATCTTTTACTATACTCAACAAAGCAGCAGTTGCATTTGTCTCTATATATACAAGCGATCTAATTGGATGTGGTTCGTTGACACAACGCAGTGACATACTGACATATTAATCCCATGCCCGTGCGTTGATGAGCTTGGTTTCTTTCCCCACTGCTTGAATTGAACCAGCGACAGCTAGTAATATATATCTTATTGAATTGTTAAGATTCTGTTGGAACATTTGTTGGACGTAGTACTCAAAGTTGTACCCCCTCCGATTAAAATTATAAGTCGTCCTAGCTTTTCTGGATACATAGTAAAAGCTATAAATCTAACATATCATATATCTAAATGTACTGTAAAAAACTATGTATCTAGAAATGCCAGAATGACCTACAATTTAAAATAGAGGGCAGTATAAAAAGCATGAATTATCGTTCGATTTCTGGTGGACTTTGTTGAAATCCTTACCCACGTACTGACAAAATATTAAACCCATGCTTGTGCATTCATCGGCTAGGTTTCCTTATTACCCACAGCTTGTACAAATGATAGATGTACTTCTATATTTCATTCTGATTTTTTGTTGTTGTTCAGACAACGTGTAATTTTATTATTGTTTGAATATAGAAAAAAATCATGAATTGTCATGCATTAGAAATATAGCAACTCTTATAGTAATATACTCTATGAATTGTCTTTCATGTTTCAGTTGGAACTTTGAGTATTTGTAACTCTCATAGTAATATACGCTATTTAATTTAAGAGGGGTTTCACTTAATGCATGAAAATCTCAAAGTTTAAATAACTGCAATGAGGTTGCTTGTATATAGTGGTTTAATTTTTTTTCTCTTGGACTCTCAGCAGTATAGCTAGATTCGTGTGAACACAAATGTTTTGGTATTTGTAGTGATCATTGCGTATTTTTTGTTATAGATTGTGTTGTCCAAGTAGTAGTAGGACTTCGGGCGGTTTGTAGAAAGTAGGAGGCACTTTATATCACAAGGCAACGAGCGAGCTGCAATCTCTCATTCAGAGATGACCAAAAGGTACATGCTTTTAGTGTATGGTGATGCCATTTGAGAAAAAGAATAAAATAACGGTCCTCTTTTTCGTGCTTTAGATCTCCAAATCAACATTGCCATATACATCTCAAAGCACTGACTGGGGTGTGAAAAAGATTAGGCAGGATGAAAGCAGCAAGCAAGAGATCAAAGATGATAAGCATCTCCTCCCCCTGGTCATTAGGCCCTAAAGTTTGGTGCTTTAGAATCCTATAAAGATATTTAATCTCCTCTGAGTAGTCTCGCCCCAACATCTGATGATATGTAGGTCACTAAAATACGCAAACCAGCTGTAAGTAGGGCACTTGTCGTTTGCTGCTTTTCAGAGATAAAAATTGACGACATGTGTTGAAATCTAAGAGCCTGTTCTCTGTGTGCGTCTCACTACCCCAGATTTGAACATCACTGTCGGCCTCATCACTGCCGGATTTGTGATAACCGGCAGTGATGTACCTTCACTGTCGGTTATGAGCTTCAAAATGAGAAAATGATTGGGGCTAGGCTAAAACCGGCAGTGAAGGACCACATCACTGCCGGTTTGTGACTTGAACCGGCAGTGTTTTGGTGGTCACTCATCACTGTCAGTTTAAACCAAGAGCCGACAGTGATTTTGATCTATCATTGTCGGTTCTAGCTAACAACCGATGGTGATAAGCCTACAACACAAAAGGCCGCAGCCGTCCTCTGCTTCCTCCTCTCTTCCAACCCGAGAACAGAAGCGCGCGTTTGGGCCCTTCCCTCCATTGTTGCGTCTGCTCTTCACCATGAAGCTAGTGCTTGGATTTTGAAGAATGGCTTGATCTTTTTGCTTTAAGGTTAGTAACAAATATCCACTCATTTGATTTTGTTGCTTAATTATCTTCGTTTTGATGGCTACATTGCTTGATTCTCATTCTAGTTCTTTCTCCATTTTAGAGAGCACTTTTTCAATTGGACATTTGTGTAAGGCTCAAATTGTGGTGAATCTATCATCCAAAAGGTTGGTGTCTATGAACACATTTAAATTCCTAACTAATTATTCCATGGTGGTCAAGATCATCATTGTTAGTATGTGATGCTATAATTAGTTCTTAGAAGTAGAGTAGAATAGATGTTCTTCATTATTGTGCAATAATTGTTTTTACTACGATTTTTAATTTACAGGGCTGGGGCTACCAATTTCAATTTTCTAATAATTAGTGTACAATAATGTTTTTCAAAAATGGTACTTTCGAGCTACAATTGTTGTTCATGAAGCTCTATTTCTTATTAATTCTTTGTAATTACTGTCTCAGTATTTTTTTTATGCAGAGATGGATCGAGAGTGGATGCATCTGTCCCGAACGGACAAGCGGTACATGCATGGCGTCAGCCAGTTTATCACCGATGCCAAAGCCTATGGCGGGAATGGGAACCCTGTCTTCTGCCTATGCAAAGATTGCAAGAATCAAAGGAACTTTCGTCAAATTGAGTCTATACGATCGTACTTGATTAACAGGGGGTTCATGCCAAACTATACGATATGGACTATGCAAGGTGAGGTTGGTGTGAATGTTCTGTAGGAAAAGATGATGATGTGGACATGCCTGACGTAGCCATCTACGATGCTGATGAGGAACCCGGTGTCAACACGAAACTTATGGCCACAGTTAATAATGTGTTTAGGAACACGCTAGCTGACGACACCTAGGATAACGATGGCATTTCTCAGCTGCTACGTAATGTAGAGACCGGATATCTTAGTGAAAGACAGCTGAGAAAGCTAGAGAAAATGAAACAAGATGGCAAAACACCATTGTTTAGAAATTGTCCAATGAGCAAACTGGAAGCTGACATCATGCTGTTAGAGTTCAAATCGACAAACAGATTGAGCGATAAAGGCTTCGATCAGTTGTTAGGTATAATAAGGAAAATGCTCTCAGAAAAAAACGAGTTGCCAGAAAAGACATACTTGGCCAAGCAAATGATCTGCCCCATCGGCCTCGAGGTTGAAAAAATCCACACGTGTTCCAATGATTGCATATTGTATCGTGGAGAAAAATACAAAGACTTGTACAAGTGCCCCAAGTGTGAAGCTCCACGGTAAAAGAAAGGGCCATCATATGAGGGTACCAAGACCAGAGGAGGTCCCGTAAAGGTTGTTTAGCTCCCCGGGTGCACAGCCAAGCTGTTGCGCTGGCATGGCGAAGAGTGTTAGAAAGATACAATGATGAGGCACCCCGTCGATGGATATGACTGGAGGACTATCAATACTATGTTCTATAAGGACATCGGTGGAGAGGTAAGGCACCTTTGGTTTGCTTTAAGCACAGATGGGATGAATCCTTTCGACCAGGTCAGAAGCAATCATAGCACCTGGCTAGTGATGCTCTGTATATACAACCTTCCACCTTGGGTCTGTATGAAGCGGTCGTACATCCAAATGCCACTACTGATCCAAGGGCCAAGACAACCTGAAATGACATCGATGTGTTTCTGGAACCAGTGATCGATGAACTAGTGGAGATGTTTGAAAAGGGTGTGCCGGATGTTTGGGACGACTACAAAAAGGAACATGTCACGATCAAGGGAGTACTTATCGCTACAATCACTGACCTGCCAGGTCAAGGTTCGTTATCCGGAGAGAAGGCAAAAGGCTATACTAGATGTGTCAAGTGTTTGGACGACACCGATGCGGTAAATCTGCCAAATAACTCAAAGATAGTTTATATGGGACATCGTAGGTTCCTACCTAAGGACCACCCTTACCGTAGGAATAGAAAAGATTTCAACGGTACTATTGAGAAACGCTTAGCTCCAAAATATCGAGACGGGCCTACGATACTTCGAGAACTCAACAAACAGGAGGTTGTCCTTGGGAAGGGGGACAATGCAGTAGCAGCGCCTGATGGGAGCGTTTGGAAGAAAAAATTAGTTTTCTAGAAACTACCTTACTGGCCATTTCTAAGTGTACGCCACTGTCTTGATCCCATGCACATCACTAAAAACGTGTGCGCTAACACTCTTAATACCTTGATGGACACCGGGGGACATCGAAGGATTCACTAGCCATACATCCGGACATGCAACACTTGGGAATCAGGAAGGAGCTGCATCCCGTGGAGCTAGAGAATAGCCAGTTCAAACTTCCGGTTGCGTCATGGACATTGAAGAAGGAAGAAAAGCGTGCGCTTATTTATTTCTTCAATGAACTCAAAGTCTCAACGGGCTACTGTGCGAACCCGAAGAGGCTAGTGAACATGAGAGAACTCAAGATCAACTATGGCCCTATGAAGGCCCATGACTGTCATGTCATTATGACTCAGCTGCTCCCTATTGCCCTGTGTGGTATCCTCCCTCCAAAAGTCCGCACTCCAATCATAAAGCTTTGCTTGTTCTTCAACGCGATCTCAAAAAAGGTCATTGATGTGTCCACGCTAGAGCAGCTGCAGCGGGACATAGCTGAAATTCTCGTTAGGCTTGAGATGCA